CAAGTTGGCTCAATCGCAGCTGCAGCCTGAGTGCTCATGCACTGATCATTTAATATAACAAAAATAAGTAGCAACAAAGATCTGCACAAGCACGCAGGCAAGTACTAAACAGCTGGAAATTAGTCGAAAATTCACCTCCAAGTTTTCGGCAATTGTGGATGAAAATGAGGTCTCTGACCACTGCTCCACCGCTGAGTAGGTATTGCTTGTTCTTGAATGCTGAATTAAATTTAATTTTTAGGTAGCTGAATGATTTGAAAAACTTCAATTTAAGTGAAACAGTCTGATTGCTGACATGATACTTCAGAAACTATTATGGAAGCTCATTTCAGCATTGCCCTGATCGATAAATCATATGCCATCGGATTGCTAGACACACTTCAAATTAAGATACTAAAAATTATACAACTTCTGTACACGGAATATACTGAGTTGAACTCGTTGTTAAAGAAACTAATGTTGCAATAACTCAGAAAAATTGACCATCGCGCCTGGAACAAAACATAATGGGCTGAACAGGTAATTCAACACAATTTAAGACACAATTAAGAAAGAAGCTATTGCGCAATTCGGCTTCCCTAAATTTAATAATAAAATTTTGATTGATGTGGTCAGAAAAATGTCATTTATAACTGTATTATTGTAGTGAGTCGCGACCCGAAAGGAGAAGCGGCGATGGAAGATGAAGATGATGATATTGTAGTGAGTGTATTATTCTCTAAGGTGGGAATTAAAACGAAAAATCTTGTATAACGTTTTGAATTTCGCTGGTCTCTGACATTCATTTTCGTGATAGACGTCATTTGTGGAATCCTTCGTTCATTAAGCGTATGGTGCCGTGTTAATGTACATGACGATGTCATCGATCAGGAGGGCCATCTTTTTCTAAAGCAATATATGCAGTCAATGGGGCGTTTTCTATTGTTTCCTTCCTGCTCAGTGACAGTTGCTTTAAAATCATTAAACTGCTTTAAACCGCTGAGAGAACGGGTAGGGATTTAAACCCACAGTTCAAACGCACAGTCGTCATTGCTTCGACTTCAGCGCACTACCTTAACATGAAAATTCGCTCTCTGAATCAGGGCAGGGACATGCCATGATAAGTACTTGAACAACGGTTTCTGTGAGTAAACGTCGACTCATTTACCTCCAAATCAGCAAAAAACATTTAAATCTTAGCTACGATTGCGGCAAGAAAGTTCGGCACTACTTTGATAACAGACATATAATAACCCGAAAACATTAATTCAGCTTCTACATAATATTTTTATCGAAAATATTTTCTTAAAAGCAGCGATCATCGTCAACTTCAATCACCATGTAAAATAAGCAACAGTCACCTTGACGTAAGTATTAACTTTTTATAAACATTGTAGGAAAAAATATGCCAACCAAATTTCAGAGGATGAAAATGAAGCCCTGTGTGATTCTTCATGATACCTAAAGAAGACTTATAGTTTTAGTCAAAATAATGTACGCTCTAGCACATTTTGAAATGACACATCGTTGGGGGCCCCGTTGGTGCATTTTACACTATTAATTATTTAATAAGGCAATGCCTACGGCCTGCAATTAGGCAGAGGTAGTCGGACACGCCCGCGCAAAATGCCGGATAAACGTGAAACAACCGGATATGTTTATCGCTGCGCAGACCACCGAAAAATTGCAGTGTGCAGCGATCTGGTATGCCGCGCCGCCTACTGGAAGTGTGGACCGATTGAAGGACATCGCACGTGTCCACGAAACGACGGGAGGTGCTTTCCTTCGAGTGGCGGAAGGATGAAGGTGTCGACAGGACGTCGGTCGTTTATTCTCATCGGCTCCAGTTGGTACCGGAAGTGCTGTGCAGCCAGATGGTGAACTCAGAATGGTCATTGAGGAAGAGCATAACATCGCAGCTCAGTAATAGGACCAGTACGCGAAGTGAGAACGGCAGAAAATAACGGGTTTGAAGGCAGGGAATAATCATTATTGGCGGCTACTGTATATGTACATAAGCGTGTTTAATAAAAGCTTTGCGTCTGCATTTTGCGTCTTCTCTCGCAACTCAGAACCAGGTGCATTATTGCCAGGTGTTGCTGTTAATGAAATGCTTGTGGCTTAATGTCAACGAAGCGAAAATAATATCAGTCGTTTTATAGTTATGGATAACTCCCCTAGGACTAGATTTCACGTTCCTCTTGCTATTCCAGAGTTTACGATAATTGCACCGTCCCGTTGCTACTAGTTATCTAAGAGGCAGTTAAGTAAGCAACGGCTCCATAGCATTTGAGCATCACCTGATGCGCCTGGTTTCATACTGCACATTAGGGCAACATCGTGATCAGTGCGAGCAACATTTAGGGAGTTGGTCCTGCTTTTATGCTATCGCATCAACATCAAAATATGTTCATACGCCGAGGTACGGAAACAATGCATATGTACTCCGAGACAAGATTTCACGGCATATTGCATCGCCTCCAGCTGTATGGGTTAATTGCGGATATCACGTAGTTAAATAGGACAATAGTAAGAAAAGATATTCAAACACATGAACGACACAGATAATTATTTAATTGAATACCGTAATGAGTACATAGCATTGTTTGCTCAGTAATACAACATAATGGAAGCGCCGCATTCGAGTTCTGTATTAACCGAACTTCGTCTTTCGTCCGGTAGGCTGTTATAAACTTACGACGAGGTTCGTTTTTCAGTCGAATTGCATATACTGCCTCCCCTTTGTTGTTGGAAAAGGTTCCTGCCGGGGCATACCAACTGTACAATTAATAATATATGCATCTCAGCTGACTGCGAGGCAGTTAATCTAGAAGAAATTTTCAACCCCCTACCGTACTTTTGTCAGTTGTCACCAAAGACAGTCTATTCATTTTCTTGAGTGACTTTAACCGTTACAATGACAAAGTATTGCTGCCTGTGGGTCTTGCGAACATTGTGAAGTTCAGCAAACGGGTAGCGAAAACATCACTGGGTCAAATACTTGTGAACTCTTCTGCCCTTCTATGCGTCGCGTAGGTCTGCGCTCAATGGAATATGAAATTGGAGCATGTCATATGTTACCCATGTCTGAATCCAAAAGGAAACTCAAAACGGAGATGCAATTCTCTACACAGCACAAACACTTGTGCTCTCGTGAGATTCAGGCAGAAGATCTTGTCAGCCTGCAGATGTTTCTACTCTGTAATAACTAACCAATTGTCATATGGGCAGCGGGATCAAGGACAACTGACTGTTGTACAGACGATCACGAAGGTGTTCACGGAGGGATTCGACTCCTTCTGTCCAACCCAGAAGATGAAGGTCACTGAAACATCAAAATCGCCAAAATGAACGGATGCACAAATCAGGGAAACGTCAGTTATTCTGATCTGTCTCAAAGTCAGTAAAAACTGAAATCCTACGGTTGAACCGCATCTGTGTTATTCGTTGACAGAGAACCCAAAAACACAATCCATATGTTCCTCAAACTAGAACCTCTGTAAAACTTCGAATGGGAGTCATCCATTTGCCAATGCTGAGGTTGATCCAGAAGATTTCAACAGGCGCTGTCTACGCAGCGAAATAAATCTGT